CCCCAAAACCCCAAAACCCCAAAACCCCTAAATTAACACTAAAAGTTGAATATTTATTACCATCATGGAGATAAAACAGTTACCTCAATATAACTTTACCAGAATTCTTCCCATCAAGAAAGAGGAAGAGGGCAAATTTAACATTGATAGTTCAAAATTGACGGAAAAATCGAGCTTTACTGTGTTGAATCCAGGAAATTTACCGTCAAAGTTTGGTGTAACATCTCTTTCTGCTTCTAAATAAGGAGAAAAGACTGTAATCTTGAGCCATAATATTATAGAAAATCTTCAAAAAAGAAGGTTAGCAAGGCAAAAATGATCAAAAGGTGTCTATCTGCTGTTGATAACTTAAAAATAAGGGTACATTTCTAACCAATTTTCTCTATTTAACTCTTTAGAAAAAGCGAAGGAGTCAGAGCGTCGTTACTCAAGACACTCCGGAGAAGAAGAATATACTAAACATCAGCATTAAGAGAGACACTTTTATTCCCAGAAGGACTCCTGTAAAATAAGCAAAGTAGGAGCTTTCTCAAAATCTCTTCTAGAAACAGTTGTTAATAAATATCTGGACATCTTTGGTAAAAAGGATGCCCCTCCGGAGCCACTGGGAGTTGCTAAAATTCCCAAGATTAGCAGGTTCCATTCCCAAAAAGGTAAATTACTTCAGAACTTTAGACATGTCTCCCACCGAGGGGTCTACAGCAAAGAAGAGCAAAATCACAAGGAGCAAAACAAAATTTTCTAATACTAGCGATATATTTGAACTTACCTTATGTGGCGTAGAGGAAAAGCAAAGGAAAGGAACAGCTAAAGAAAGACTCAAAGGAATCATTAGAATGACTTTAAAGTATAATTTTGGCACAAAATTTTACGAAATCTTCAATTTCTGCATCTAAAATCACCTCTAAGCCTATTCAAGCTTCATTTCCCTATCTCCAACATCACCACTCCTCTAATTCCAAAAATCTCCCAAATAACATCAAATCTTTAGCACTAACAACAAGAATCCCCCTAAACCCTCAAATCTGGCTTCAAAATTCAAGTCTACTGCAGTAAGCACACCACCATCCCATTTCCCCTCCATCGAGCTCTTCCAAAACAATTTTCCTTATATTTCTCCTTTTAAACACCAGTACCCTCCTTAAGCCATTCTTCCAAAATTCAAAATTATTCACACAACAAATTTCTCACTCAAAATTTCCTTCTACCTCAAAAAGGCAGATTCTGGCTTCCAGATGCTAAAGAGGCCGATTTACTGGATTTTATGTATTTTCATAGAAATTACAACACAACTGGAGGACAAAATCAGCTCCTGATATAAGACAAACTAGGACATATGAACAAGGAAGTATTAAATAAAGCAGCAGAAATTTTGAGAAGGAGAAGAGAAGGCTGGTCAACGAAAGAGCCAGAGCAAGATCAAGAAGAGAATAAAGATAATGATAATTGAGACTTTGGAGATCAGATAGATTTTAAGTATACAAAAATGCCTTGATTTAAAATCCCTGTTGATAAAACAGAGAAATATCGTGAAGCGTATCTTAAGAAGATGGATAGAAGGACTAACAAGCTTGAGACTCACTATGGGAGTGAGACCAAAGCTTCCGTTCTCAGTGAATCAGTACAAATTTTAGATAACTCTATAGCAATGCTGATGTATCTCGAGAGGAAATATTATAGAAGCGTTTGTAGAGAAATAAAACTACCCAATTACGAGGAAAGAAGATCTTAACTTCTCAGCAACGCTTGGATATCTTAAAATCACTCACATTTGAGAAAATAAAAAGAAACCCTCATTATTTAGCGCTTAACCTCTCTGAAATTTATATGGCTCAGACCTATGATGTATTAACAATAAAGAACAAGGATTTATGACAATGTAAAGCTAAGCAATAGAAAATCATGACTGTTTATATTTCAACAAAATCTTTGTAGATCGGGGTTTTGGGGTTTTGGGGTTTTGGGGTTTTGGGGTTTTGGGG